GTACAATCATCTTACAAGTCGTATTGTTCTCTGAACAAATGCAAGTTCGCCTCGTCTTAAGTTTTAATCATTAATGACTCAGGGATGCGAATCCAAATAAAGTAATATTGACTCTATGGAAAAGCTAAAAAGATTATGTTCGTAAAATAATATTTGCACAACGGAAGGATGAATATCTCAAGGAAAAAAAAAAAAGAAAAAAAAGTGAATGTAACGTCGAGCACATGAGTCGCTTAAGTAAACATAGCATGTTGCCGCTCTATTTACCCCAGAATAATTTCGACAAAATTTCCAAAAAATGTTTACGAGAGTTGTTTATCCCAGTCTATAAAATAGATTTAAAACGTTGCCTAAGTTAATTTCCTCTAGCTCTATAGCTCGTTATATGTGAATATGAACGGAAGAAGACCTAACTGCCAAAGATATTCACGTGAAATGATTTATTTATTTTTGAAAATCATTTTCTTTTTATAGAAAAAAGTTACCTCAAAATTTTGTATGTATGAACCGAATGTTTGCAAAACAAGTAAAAGTTTTTATTCTATTTAATCATTTCATGGAACTTAAGTGAGAGAAGGGGAAATGAAAGAGTCCTTGAAAAAATTACAAAAGCTTTCGCTTTTTTTTTGTTTTTTTTTTTTTCCTTTTTGACGGAATCCATTATAATATTAATTATGCCTTGGCATGAAAATCACATCAATTTCAGGTATTGTGAAAAGTTTTAATACTTTGTGATTATTTATAACAGATACATACATGTATATATATATATACATATATATATTGGTAGACCTAATGAACGCTATTGTGTAGACAAACTGATCTCCCCCTCTTGTAGCCATATTAGAGTTTATTAAAAAGCGAAGAAAGCGAATTTCAATTAGAATCTTTTCTATCGCAAACAGAACGCGAGTAGATTATGACATGCGTAAGCACAACTAAAAAAAGAATAAGAAATAATAATAATAACAAAATAAAGAAAGGGGATGATTGCCTTAAGTACTGCACGTAACATTGATGGTTAAACAATACAAACTGAAGGGTGTACATGTGGGAGGGAGATGACAGGCCAGGGGGCCAGAGAAACAGAAACACAGTTGCAAACGACAACAATTGTGTGTGCGTTTGGAAAATTAACAACCAAATTTTTAGCAACATGTTTAACATCATTCATATACGTTCGTTATATGCATATATCTGCGCATATATGCGAAGGGAGATAATGTGATATTTTTTGGCTTAGTAAAAAATAAATAGCGACCAACACTCAACGCTACCCGCAATATCAGATGAGAGCGTATACTTTACGTTACTTTAGTGTACACCCGCAACAGTTCAACGGCTCTTTTGCGAAACCCAATGGTGCGATTATTAGTCGCAAAACTACCACCATTCTTCCTCTGCCTATTACCTATTGCAAAGTCAGAGGGTGATTAACCCCTTTTAACTATAGATTTGCCATAATGCAATGGCTATACAGTTCGGTGCATAAATTCATATGAGCATAATTTTGAAATTTTTTAAAAGGATTTTCAAAAATCCCCTGAACAAACGGAATATTTAATAATTAATTTTGTAAATTTATTACATATTTCATAGATGTTATTAGAGCGGGCAACATTTTTAAATAGAATTTTGAAAAGGAAATTTAGAGAACTTTCCAAAGTTCTTAATTCGTTTTGTTGACCAAATAATTGAACTCGTTTCGCTATAAAAATCGTAAAGGGCCGCATAAATTGAATTTTTATGGAAAATGAAGCTAAAAATGCAGCAAGACGATGCGAGCCTTTTTGTCCTTTTTTACTCGAAAAGAACCCAGTATGCAGGAGTAGCGACTACCAAGTCTGTGTACGCGAGTTCAAAGCTCACGGCGGTAGAGCTTACTTTAGCAGTCATAGCTATAGTGAGTGCTTAGCCGGTAAAGGCATAACATTTACTGATTGGAGACAAACCCTCTAGGCTGCGAGCGCTTCCCTGTCTCTTTCTCTTTCGTCTCTTCGTTTCTCTCTAGGGGACATCTCCTGGTTGATTGATCATATAAAACAAAAAAAAGAGAACACGTCCGTCTTTAAATACCCCACAGCACTAACCTTGCTATGTTTGCGAGATAAGTTGCAGTATGGAAAGTAAACGAAAAAGTGGTCCAATCGAAACCGCTTTCGATAGCGCTCGCCCGTAGGCCAAAACACGCCAATGTACCAAATTTCAAGAAAATATCACAAAAATGGCGAACTATAGTTTAAACACCAAAATACAAGGACAGGTTTCAGAAGATCAAAGGGACAGACAGACAAACATAGAAAGCGATTCAGAATCAGCGGGCATAATAAAAGGCGGATCTATCCGAAATCTTTTTAGGAGTTACACATACTCGCACAAACTTCATTTATCGCAAACATTGTAGGCTGTAGTACTCGAAAGCAACTTTCATGTAGAACGTTACAGCAAAAATGTTATTTCTCCATGCACATTATCTACATATTTACAGCAACTTTTCAATCTGCATTATCATTAATCATTATTGTGATGACTTCGGCGGATAAGGATTTTTAAAACTGATACGGCAGGATACAAACAAACACGACCCTGCCCCAAAAATTCGAAATCTCTCGAAACTTTTAACTGAATACTGAGTAGATGGGATTCTGTCTTATTCTAACTTTCTTATGATAACTATGCTCTCATCCACATTGAAATGTTGCCAACATGCCACAATAAATGATTGAAAATCATGTTAAATTTGCTGCGGGACTTTCTCATTGAAAAGTTGCACGAGAAAACAAATGTGAATCCACTACAAGCAAAATTGATGAAATTAAATCGTCACTTATCTGATAGGATTCTTGTAAATCAATTTTTTGTGAAACCTAATACATAACCTACTTTACATGTCAACGATATTTAACTTTATTCGGAGGTTTTTATTTGTAGCTTTCCCTCGCTATGCACATGGTTTTATAAATCTTATAGCTAACACACTTTTTTTAATTCTACAGATCGAAATTCTTTTATCTTGCAATATACAGAATATCGAAAATCATTATACATCTGAAAGAGTGGCCAGGGTAGTCGTCTGTTGCGTAAAATGTATGCAAGATGTAAACAGACTTCATACGCGTCATATGCGATACTGCAATTCACATTGCATAAGTTCTTAAATTAATCAATTATATATTATTCTGCAATAAGTACGCGAATAGTTCCTGTTCATAGTTCATAATGTATTCTTTTTATAATAGAACTGAACTTCAGCTTATTTAAGAACATCTCATTGACTATGGCATAAGTCATTTGTGATAAAGATTTATTCAGTTTGTGAGGACTCACTCAGGATCATTTTAAGGATGTGAAGATGAATTCGAGTTTAACCAGCAAGAATGTTTAGCAACTGATTTAACAGAGCTAAGTAGAGGCTCTAACATATCAGGTTATAGTTGAATTTGCAAGCATAGTTCATATATGTTACAAAATTTAAAACATTTTTCTAAAAGCCACATAGATCTATATTAAAGTGGCTTTAAAATGATGTAAAGAAACTAAAATATTAAATATTTCTTTCGTAACGTCTTTTTAATAGATGCATGGAAATTGGTACGTCGGCGGTAGTCGACCATCAAAAGTCAATCTATTCAAAAAGCTCGTGGCGGGAAAAAAAGACAGTTGCGCTTATATTCACCTAAAAACATATAGGCAAACTAAACAGATATCAATTCTGCTTCTTCGTATTTCAGCCCCTCTGCCCCTCTAATATCTCTCTATGTGTGCGATTACTATTTACATTTCGGAAATCTGATGATACACTGGCCAGGAGGAACATTTGAAATTGAAAATTATTTAATCGGTCGATTAGCATTGATTTAAGCTTGTCTGTCCATCCGTCCATCTGACGCCTGCCTGACTGCGATGCTTCTCATGCAACACAACATTACATGCAAACCTTTATACATTTTTAGGGTATTTGCAATGATTAGTGTAACTTTGGAAGGGATGACACTACCGTGCAAATGTTCTTACTAGAAATAAAATTTTATACAACATGTAGATCTAATGCTTAGCACACTTTATGATGCAAATTGTCCCAGGGAAAAGTGATTTGACATCAAAATTTGCTTTGGTGTCTTCAGAATACATGGGCCAATTTTCCAGGATGTTTTCTATATAAAGGCCTAAGTAAGCCCTTCTATGGTAACAAAGTTTGTTTTTGAAAGATTTTAGAAGCAAGCAGACGAAGAGCTATAAGTTGTTGACAAAAAACCAACAACTTACTTACCCACTTTCCCAACTTGGACTGGACTTTGGTGTCCCTCCTATAAAAGGATTCCTATGAGAAATACATTTCCATTTACATGGTAACGAGCAATGGTTTTTCGTATTTTTCAAAAGAAATAAATGAAATACTGTGTTAGGTGAAGTGTTCAATCTTGGCAACTGCAACATTTTTTAACTTACGATACCAGAGTGTTTCTCTAAACTTGGAACAACCTCGAAGGTCTTCCCTTAAGCGTTGATCTCTTTCATTCAGATAATATTTATTTATTGATTATTCGCTTGTAAGGGGTTCGTTTGCTAGTTAATCCTTAAATCCCTGTTAGTTACATAATATATAATGCCAATAATAATAATCGGATGAAACTTGAATTAAAAAACTTAAAGTTAAGATGACCTACAAAGTGAGGATAAAATGCTATAGAAAGTCAATTACTATTCGTGCTGTCTTTTTATTAATTTTTTTTTTTTTTTTTTTTTGTAATATTGCCTTTACATGTGACTGCTCGGATAGTTCAATGTAAGTGTGCCTTTTGCAACAATAATTGATGTATTAATCTGTCACATTATGTTGTCAGCTGTCATTGTCACAGCCAATAAACACAAACAATTACATAATTACATAGTAAAGTAACAATAAATGTATGATATATAAGTGAGTGTAGTTTTTTTCCAACTTTTCCTTATATTCACAAATTTTTAATATTGTTCTTCCTCTTCTTTAATAATTGCAGAGTCAATGCGGGTCACCAACATTTGAGAAAGAACTACGCGAACAATTGGAAAAGTAAGTCAGTAAAAAATTGAAATTAATTATGTTAAAGCAATGTTATTAATGCCATCGCTCGAAAAACAAAAACAAAAGTTTGCTTAGATCCCAAACGGATTCTTGTTTAATATCTATTTCTTAATTTATAACTTGCTTGCTTTTATTAAACGGTAAACACGCTGCGTCTAGCTGGCTGTGTTCAATCCAAACCCACTTTGCCATACAAGCAATAAATTAAGAGATCTATCTATCAACATTGAAACTTCGATTACACTTCATTTTCGCATGCATCAAGAATGCGGTAAAACTTTCTTTTATGATTTCCATGATATCAAGTTTTCGAACTTCAAGCATTTTTAGACTCGCTACCAAAATATCCTACATTCGTCCTTCCACTTAAAACACTTACAAATGTTATCAGATACTTTATACAGTCTTTATAACCACATACATATATATATGCATATATGCATATATCAATCAAAATAGAATTTTAAGGCAATTTCGTCCACCTCTCCCTTCCTTCGCTGACGTTGAGCAACTCTTTAAAACATAAAACATAAAACTTTAAATATAATTTTACTTTATTTTCAAAGAACAAGTTGAAGAAGATAAACAAATAACAACATCGCGTTCGGCTATGGCCGAATCCTTTAACTCCATTACCTTTAGTTTACCAAAAAAAAAAAAAAAATTAATTCCTATGTTTTAAAATTTCGGTTAGGCGCGTTTTTCTCCATTTTTGTAGATTTCCACAAAATAGAGATATTTATGAGTAATAAGCAAGACCCTAAACTTTTGTTGCCTTCGCGAACATGAGTGTTCTCGGTTTCTTGTTGTGTCATATGTGTCAGATGCTCTAGCCAAGGTAGTTCATTTTTAACGCCAACCTTCGCGCGAAACCTTCCAATGTTTTTGTCAAGGAGGATCCTTAACACAACTCGGTGGACGGATGGACAAGCCTAAATCAATTCGGAGTTGAACAGTTACATAATTGTAAAACGTTAAGAGCTCTCTGAGACCAAGGCCCGCGACATTTAAGGACTTCGGATATGTAAAACACTTGAACACATAAGGTCCTGACATATGTAAAGCACGGGAAATGAAAAACCCTGGCACATGTAAGGCTGTGGGACACAAAAGCTCCCGGAACATGTAAGGCTTTGGGAGGGTTAAAGCTCTCGTAAATTGATTATTATATCCGCACTAACAAAATGGATATGCCAGCAAGCACACTCACATGCATCAACAAAGATCATGATCATTTTCGTTAAGTGCTATTAGTTACCGAAAAAACAAATTCTGTAAGCGTGACTCTATTGTAAAATAATAACAAAAACAAAAAAAAAAACAACAAATAGATAAAACAAATTCCAGAATTATCTAATATGCTTGGTGTAAGTGTCGTTTCCCAAACATACGTACATATGCTGCACATATGTACATATGTACATATACGTATATATACGTGTACGAATACGTTCTCGTTGTTAGAGAAGGAAAGACTTATTTGAATGCCTGCCAAATAAAACGTACAGGCAGGGAAAACACGTTAACCTGCCAACAACACAAGCACAAAATCAGAAAATTTTACAAACAAAACGGTAGAAATACAAAAAATAACATGTACACGTAAAACACAAACAACAATAAAATACAACAAATAATAAAATTTTCGCACGAATACATACAATACAGGCTGACTAAGCTCAAGCAGCCTATTATCGGCTCGAACGGCGGATGCATTCCCTAGTCATTAACATTTTCAAGCCACAACATCACGCTTCACAGATCCAATTCAAGCCCCAAAATGCAAAAAGTACTAGAATTTTCAATTGTAAAACTGAAGTAAAGGAGAAGGAAAAACGAAAACGAAAAAAGCAAAACCGTAAGCAGCTATGTTTACGATTTGTATGTTTGTTTGTACATGCCTTGAACTCGAAGTTGCATTTGCTTAACAGTCGGCTGCCAGCCATAAAATTCGTTGCAGTGTGTGGTAAAATTTTTTTTTGCATTTTCCTCCATTAATTGCCTCGAAAACACCATCAATCACGACCGACCCTCGCGCATTCACCCAACTTGCTTTATCTCATTTTGCTTTACCGGCCAAATTAGAGCCAGCGTTAGCTCCAGTTAGTTAGCTTTTGCGGCCTCTGTGTAATTGCAATAATTTCCACAATTCTTAGTCTTTGGCTTGTTTTTTGTTTTGTTCGCTTATTCTATCTCAGTCAACCGTTACCAAGATTTACACTTACCACACATCTGCGCTACACTGCATTCGAAGAATGCATTCCATGAATTTCTCCATTAGCCAGATTTTCTCCTTTCATTTACTGACTCTACTGTTCACTTTATCTTATTTCTAGGAAGTGTTTAAATTATATACCTTAAGGTCAGAAAATTTCTTAAGCATATCATTTTTTTTTTTTTTTTTTTTTACTTACTTTTCTTAAACCAACAAAGTAATGAAATATTTTTAGATCGAAGTCGATTTATATGTGACACCTACGGCATACATGATTTGAAACTAAAAAAACCAAAAATAAAAAACAAATAAAAACGCTATAGTGGGGCACGGCGCACCACTATATACCCTACATCACTCTACAGTTAGCAGTCGCCGAAAAAGTGTTCTAATCAATCCTCAATAGCGTTCAGCCTTAGAACAAAACATATCAGTTTAACAAATCTCATGGAAATATCTGAAAAATTGCGACCTGCAGGCTGAACAAAGGAAAACAAGACCGACAAATAAGCCTAGACCGAATCAGATTCTAAGTCGGACGATATGCCATAAGATGGGTGTATCTCAAGTCCTTCCGGGTGTTGCATACATCCTTAGAAACTTAATATACCCAACCACGAGCCATTGGCACCATTTCAACTTATGAGAAGATAACGCATGCGCGCTGTGCCACGGCATTAATGACAATGCGCAGCGCACTGTTTTCGTGAGTCCGGCTTTGGCAAGTTTAAGAAGCGAATTTCAGATCTCTGGAAGTAGAAATTACACCAGGCGACGTCCTGGCGGTCATGTTAAATGGGCACCGAAAACTGAAAGAAATGTGCTGTTTTTTTGTACGGGGACGGGGGACGGAGGACGGGTGATTGAGATTAAGAATTCTTAAGGGTCCATCTGAGGATAACACGAAAGCGGTCACAGGATGGTTTGACCTCACTGTAGGGCTACGCCCATTAAAAAAGAAGCAAACAAGAAAAGAATGTTACCTTGTGCCACAAGCGATGTAGGTTAGAGTAATAGACTCTCGTACCACGACTGGTGTAGGGTTCGGTTGGTGTATCAGTTATCCATATGTAATTATCTTGGGAAATACCAGTGTACGTAACGGTTAAATTCGATGAATTTGACCTTCTTCTACATAAAATAACTGTTTTCCATTCAATAGTATTGAGTTATTCAGCATATGCTCACGCTACCCATGGAGGGCCCAAAGTTGCATTTTCCGCGTTCGTTACTTTTGTCGTTTAACTTGAAGAAATCTGCTGCCGAAGCCCATCGAACACTTTTAGAAGTGATTGATGATGCCGCTCCATCATATCGCAATTGTCGGTTTTGGGTTTAATGGGTTATAAAAAAGATGATTTTGATATCAATGACAAAAAGCGGCTTGAAGGATCAATAAAGCTCGAAAACAAGGAATTGCAAGAGTTATTGGACGAAGACCCAGCCCAAATTCTCAAAGAACTTTCGAATGGCTTACCAATTGACGAATACACTATTTTCGAACGTGTACATGCACTGGGAAAGATCCAAAAGAAACGAAACCCTCGCAAATTGACTGAAAATAACGCGTTGGAAGAGTTGCCCAAGATTACATTGCTGCAGAGCAATGGGAAGCTCTGCTACACCCACCTTACTCACACAGCGCCTTCTAATTGCCAACTGTTCAGATCGATGTAGCATGGTTTGACTCGCACGCGGTTCAGCAAAGTTGAAGAAATGCGAAAATGGGTCGGTCATTGCCAAATTAATATCGTTCTTCCCACACGACATTGACATGTTGACACAAAGTTGTAGAAAATGATGGAAAATATTTTATAAATATACATAGAGGGAAGCAATGTTCCTCAATAAATAGTAAAAGTTTTAAAATACGGGTGAAAGCCTATTGATGTAAGGGCATGAAGAGGAATTCGAGTTTAACTAATAAAGACACTTATAGATCCCTTAGCAGAGCTCAGTAATCACCCTAATAGAGCTCTTTTAAGCGGTTAACATGAGAGTATAGTTAAATTTGGAATCCTATGTCGTCACACCTCATGAATTTACATGAAAACACCCTTCGACTGAGTTGAACAAATTCAAATTCTGCCTTCGGAACCATTTTTAACAAATTTTTCAAATGTGGTACTTTAAACGGACTACGGGAAAGTCCTCAAATCTGAGCCTCTAGTCACAAACACAGTTTCAAACATGTATAGCTAGTACAGGCGGCGTTAATGTCAGACATATATGGGAGCCATAAACTACAGACAGACTTGAATATAAAGCTAAAGGGCAATAAAAGATCAAAAATAGAAAAATGTGAAAGTAACAAAAAAAAAAAATATATATAATTTTTGCATTTCTTCTTTTTCACTTTTTCCAGCATGAGCCGGGTAATGAAGTCCAAAGAGCGTAAGCAATTGCAAACTTGCCGGGATCATAAAGCTTTGCAGGTATTTAATAAAAAAAAAACTTTTAATCTATTTACTTACTTTTTATAATCATCGCCGAAGGACAAGGTGTTTAGGGTATAAAAATGACATGGACCTACTCTATGGACCTGCTGCGACAAAAAATTGGTCACATCCAGTTAGAACTTAAGGTTGATTGGCGTTTCGGCGGCAAAGATCGGCTGCAAATTTTGCGAGTTTTTTTTTGATACAATGCTGGTCGTCATATTTTCTTATTCAGTCTATAACGAGCCCGTATCTGTTATGCATTGAGCTTCCAAATAACAATGAATGAATCGCTAAATTTCTATAAAAACCTACTTTCGAGGCTTATTCAGTGGTATGCGGGTATCTTGATTTACGATATTTGAGATAGCACACGAAAATAGTTACTCAAATAATAACAAGTGAGAAAATTATATCCGGTCGTGACCGGCTCTTTTACTTCCATCACCGTTATTC